CCGGGAGATGCTTCTATGGTGCAAAAGGACCTTGCTGTTATCTACTGTAAATCCAGGATTCAAGGTCCTGCACTCCGGACCAGCAAGAACAGGTCGCCATGTGGCACCTCTATAGGTGTCCTCTCCTTCTGTCTTCTCAAAATGAATTTCCTGGGTCTCCTCGTAAGACTTGGTTGTGAGCCACCTGATCCTAATTACTCTTCTCCGAAACTGTTCCAATTTGTCTGACTCCTCTTTAAAGCCAGCACCCTTAAAATAGGATGCAGGATTCAAAGCAAGGCCTGAATAAATGCAGAATAAAGAATAACCCTTTGTTACAAACTGAAGCTTCCCAGCACTGCTTACGTTGGAAACGTGAACCCTAGAGATGATTAAACTGGTTTACGCATTCTGGAAGTCCAAATTTTGGCCACCTACTAAAATCATCTTGAAACTGATTTCTGTCTTCTTGGGTGTTAGCTATCCCACTGAAGGCTGTGTGTCATCAGAGACACGTTCTCTCCACTTCATCATCCAAGTCATTAATAACCATGTCAAGGAGTACAGAGCCCAAGTATTAATTCCATGGCTTCTCGTTAGGTGTTCTCCAGTTGATGAGAGCTCTCTGAATATGGTTTCTAAGTCTGCCACACATCTACCAACAGGCATGGCCATATTAACTCGTTTGCTGGTCAGAATATCATCACACATTCTGTTGAATGCGTTGGTAACATTAAGATATAGTATATCCACAGCATTCCCACAATCTACTAAAATTGCTGCAATTTAAAAAAAATGAGAAAGTTAATCTTGATGAAACCATACCGATTCCAATAATAAATGTTTTCTCCAGAAATCAGTAGCTTATTTTCTGTTCAGAATCTTCCCGGCTATCAGAGTCAAGACGGCGGGTTGTTCCCCGGGTCTTCGTTTGCCTTCTTCTCAAGATAGGAATGTCACCCAGTAGTTTAGCACTTTACCCGTTCCTTGGGTTTTTTCCATGCACAGAGATAAAGACATCTTCAGCAAGTTCCCTCGGTATTCTCAGGATGCAAGGAATAACGGCTCTGGATTTTAAATCTCCTGCAAGTAAATAAGTGTTCCTCTCTCCATCAGCCCCAGACTTCAGTCCTATCCTTTTGCCCTGCTCTTCACAGCTGTCCAATCATGAACACTTTGGTTGAGAAGACTGGGATCAAAGAGGATCCGAATCAATCTGCCTTTTCTTTGCTACCCCAGAGTATTGTGCTGTTTTCACTGAGTGGCTGTTAGGCCAATTTCTTCCTCTTCCTTTTATTCTGAACCTACTGTGCAGAAGCCCTTTATGTTTTTGTTAGCATCCCTTGCCAAATTCAGCTCATCTATAGATCTGTGCTTCCTGAACGTACCCAGTCCTTGGGGCCTGTCCTTCCCATCCTTGTCTTGGTTAACTTGTGAGTAAACCCTACAAAAGAGTTTGGTCAGGTTTGACGGCTGCCAAGATGGCTGGGGATGAGGGCTGTAGCCCAAAACATCTGGAGGAAGCCAAACTGGAGGAAGGATACTTTAAATGACGCAGAGCCAGCACTTTAACTCTTCTGTTTGCTGAACGCAGAGCTACAGTTCTTGATGTTGTGAAAACGCCACGCTGGCCTGGTCAGCTGCAGCCCAAATTTCTGCTCCAGTTTGCCAGAAGCCAAAACAGAACAACACAAACAAATACAACAAAGCAAAATACAACAACTTCCTCCTCATGTTACGCCACAAGACAGCAACGCTGAACAAATTTAAAGGAAGCCTCAGCAGGCTGGGGCTTCCTTCAAAGAGAAGTTTCCCTGAGCAGCTTTTAAGGAAATGAAAATGCAGAAGCGTTACTGAATTCCTACTTAACTCCAGCTGAAGGGGGGGGGCATCTTTACATTCTGCCTCCTGCTTACAGAAGCCTTTCTCTTTCTCCAGAATCCGTCTGAATAAAGACCGGTGCATTGCAAAGCCAGAGGCGCTGCAGTTGGATCTGAGACCATCAGGGCTGGCATGAAACTACTGGGGGGC